TAAAAATAATTCAAAGTAACTTATAATATTTGAATCAAAACAAAAACATCAAATACTTTTATAATATATTAATATGTAAGATAATACTGGAGTAACCTTTAAAACTGTACTGATAAAAAACTTAATCTTCATAAAAGTAATTTAAAACTGTGCTGTATAAATATCAACAAATATTCTGAACATAAAAATCTTGAATTTGATAACTGAAATTGTATTTAAATCATAGATTAAAAGAAAATACTATCTTTGAACGAAAATAGGTTCACAATTGTGTTTATTTTTCAAACTTTTGCGGCTTTGACTTATTGTATCTTGAAACACTATACTTAAGCCATCCAACTACAATTTTCTCAAATTCAAAATCTGTATTTATTTGTGGATCATAACATTTTTGCAAAATTCCTATAAATATTAAATGCATTCAAGAAATTGAGATAAAATGACCTCTGATAAATAAAAAAAAATTGCTTTACTTCTTATAATCTTAATCAAACATGTATCACGAATTGTAGTTAATTTTCCTTTTCCTCTACCAGACCATGAACATTTTGTTGCATATTCATCAGTGATAAATCTTGACAAAACACGTATTACATGATTTTTAAAAGAACTGCCACCAATTGTTTTAATATACATTTCCTATTATTAACAAGAAAGTTAAACTATTAAATTCTAAATTAATATATTTTACATAAAAACAAAAACATCTTACTAGTTTAAGCCCAAAGTCAAGTTCGTTCCCTAATATACATTCTTCTATATGTTTTAATTCATCTGGACTGTTAATTGGAAACTTTTCTAAAAACTGTGCATCTACATTTTTGGATACTGGTAAATTCATTTTAACAAAAAGTTGTTCCAAATCTTCCAATTTTGACAATACTTGGCTTAACATAAATTTTAAATTTATTCCACCATTGAAAATTCCATATAATAAGTTTTTTATCTCCAAGTCTATGTGCAAAATAAAAAATGATCAATCATAAGCAACTAACATAATATTGACTATAATTCAAGATATATTTATTTAACATAATACATAAATAATTTATGTATAAATAAAATATATATGTAACACAAACAAAGTTTAGATTTTAAGAGAAAAAAAACTATGTTTACTATTTAAATGAGTGGAATCATCATTATGAGTGTCAATTGACTCAGGAGTATCCATTATCGGCTCTTGTCCAGTTTTCATCTCTTCATTAGGCAGATTAATATTCTAAGTTAACATAGTACAAACATATTGTAAATAWGTAGATTTAATTAAAASAACAACTTCAAAATTAGTAAAATTTAAAAATGTATATCAATGAAAAGTCATTATTARGTATTAAGGGAAACCTCTAAATCCGAACATTCTCGGTCATTGTAATTTTGTCTACTATTTGGAAGTGCCCACTTTTCATACCRACTGTTTTTAACCTTTTCACTGCCCACACTATTTAACCTCTCCAAAATATTTATTTTTTTATTTTTTTATGTTTTTATTTCATTCTATATGTTTTAACTTTTCAAATGAAAAAAACTTTTCTATATGATCTAATTATTTAAGTTTAACACAATAAAAGCCAGAATTACATAAAAGTTGTATGATTATCTACAAATGATAATATTATAAAATAAAGTAATGTAATAGTAGTTTGGAACAGTGAAAAGGATAAAGAAAGTACATTTACTATATTTACAGTCAATGAAATGTGCTTAGTGATTGATCATCACCTAGTATACAGTTTTTACAATTAGTATTTATTTAAATAGTAATAAAATAATTACTATTGATAGAGGAAAATTTGTTAGTTTATGGTTATATAACCAATTTTGTCAAAATTTGAACTTAAATTCTCTTAAAAATAAATGTAAC